AAAATGTGTCAGTAAATGTCGCCTATAAAAAGTCGATTTATTGTAATGATTTGAAAGACAAGTCGGTTATAAAGTCACATCGTTTAAAAAGTTTATATAGATTAAATTGGTCCAAGGAAATTGCACAGGAGAGCAAATAAACGTTTCTTGTGTCTGAATGTGTACATACATATATGTGTGTTTGTATGCTCGCAACGAGAATATAGGTTCAGCATCAGTTTTATGAGAATGTAGATCCCCTTTCTTTCAGAACTTCTTCGATTCTATACCGTTTTTCCTTTTCTTTTTTTTCTCTCCTTTTTTATATTGCAGGTTCATCTCAACGCAGAAACAGCCTCGCCCACGTGAAACGGGTCACACCCTTTCGTCTCACCGTCCAACTCTGCCTTCTTCCTTTATTTTCCTTATTTTTTCCTTTCTTTATTTTATTTCCTTCTTTTTTAATTCATTTCCGTAAGACGTCATTTTTACTCCAACGCTATAGTTTATGTTCGTCTAAATAATTTACGAGAACCAAAATGAGAAAATGGAACATAAAAAATATCCTTTTGGTATCACCTTCAATTTCATTTCTATGATTATTCTCACTCCCGCGTCTTTCTCGTGTTTTTTTATGAGAGAATATTTTCGAAGCAGAACCAATTAATATTTTCTGATTTTTAGTTCCTTTCCTCTAAATTTCTGCTGGATTTTTTTTTATTTTAATGAAAATTTGTTGTTGTTCAAACTTAGTTAAAATATTTGAGAAATTAATTACATTCTAAAAAATTGTATTTTTTGTTTTGAGTTTTATTAATAAAGTAATGTGAAATTGAAAAAAGGGGAAAAGCCTTTTTTTCATAAACGAGAATGCAATTTTTTTTATTAATGGATAATGTGCAAGCATTTTATCGACGACATTCAGGGTCGATAAAGTTTAAAATATATGTAATAATTACGAGGCAGATCGAGACGTCGAACGCAGACAAGAAGAACAGTAAATTATTCCCCCCTTTGGTATAATTAAGCGATAAATAAAAGCTTTTCATGCTGAAAATATTCATGAATTGAAAAACAAATTATTATGTCGTAATAAATAGTTTGCCTGCAACTGCCATTGATCCACTAAATTATTTACGTTAATCAGACTTCATAAATTTTCAAACGTCTTATAAAAGTTGAATAAAACAATTTCAAGGTTATTATTCTCATAGATTTTTGTCTTCTCCAAATATATCTATATTTTCTTTTTGAATTTTAAGTTTTTAAAAGAAACATTTTACTGTGTTTCCTTTTTAACATTCTCATCGCATGAGAAGGTATTAGGTTTGATCGAAAATTGACTTTTGTTAATTTTATGAAATCTTCACGTTTTGGGGTGATGCCTTGAGTCGGAAAAACATAATGGTCTAGAAAAAGCGTCTGTCTGTAGACGCAATGATGTCGTTACGATGACTTTTGAAAAACTTATTGTATCAACTTGTAACTTGGCATGCACAAAGTTAGTGTTAAAATACAGATTTTTATGACACGAGGGGAGATCTCAGGGCGCCCTCGACCTCCACTCGTGACACAAAAAACACCGTAAACAAATGTCTGCCTTTGTTTTCTTGTTGCTTAATATAATATTTTATCATTTTTATTAAGTTATTTGTCTTTTTTTGGCATTTTATCCTATATCACTGAAAATGATTTCTTTTTTTCTATTAGGTTTATGAATAAATTATGACGAATATTTTAAAAAATTTTAGTTCAAATATTTATTTTAATCGTAGACGTAAAATATAAGATATGTCTATTAGAAGAAATTCAAAGAAGATGAGCATTATATAGAGAATAATGTGAATTTTGGAGAACGCCAAATTGTGAAATAGTGATAAGACAAAATATGAAAATTTCTTAGTGCCCCGAGGGAATGAAAGTTACAGGAAAATATTATTTGGCATAGACCCAGAAACAAGTCCCGAGGCCCACGAATCTAATTATATAGCTATATATATAATGTACGTAGGAAAATGCATCTGTCCATGCAGGTGAAAGAGGAGAAAAGACGATTTCTTCTGGGACAAGAGAGCGCGCACTCCCCGAAGGCGAAAGAAAGAAATAAATCCTCGTGATTTTCTGCGGGGAGTGCTACATTCTGCGTCATCAAAAATCTGCAAGGGGCGTCTGTGAGTGAAATAAGCGCTCGCGACTACAATGGGACTCGCATTTGAAAATCTTTTCTTCCATTTTTTTCAATCCGAATACAAATATATATACAGATATAATTTCTTACGACGTCATGAATAACAGAAATTTTATCGCTTAGTTTATTCTGTTACTAACATCGAGAAAATATTTAATTGAGTCAATTCAACAAGATTTAAAAAGGATTATTTAATATTAAATTTAGTGGAGATTTTTCATAATTTTTTTTAATGAAAAAATGTTCTTCTTACTACCATACAAAATATATTTGAATTTTTTTTTCATTTTTCAACCCTCGTTTTTTTATTTATTTCTATTGTTTCTCTGCTTAACGCATCGTTAATTTTACTATTAATTTAAATGTTTATTATCAAACACTCGACGATTGTTGGAAAATTTTCAATCAAAACTTTCAGAACTTTTCAACCATATTGCTGCATGAAAAAAATATAAAGTAGCTTTCGCTAATATTCCGAGGTTTACTATTTTTACAAAAATTACTTTGAAAATGGTATACTTTACTCCAGAAACAGTAAAATAACAGATAGAAATGCACAGAAATTCCAAATTCCTACTATTTACTACTTTTTTACGATAAGCTACTATTTGGATACTTTTTTTTAAATTTGTGACACTAAAAGCTACTTTTTCCTATTTTTGAGAATTTCCACAAGTTTAAATTCGCTAATAATTGTAATAAAAAAATTATTCTTGAAAATTTTAATAAAATTATTCTTAGAAACAATTCGAAAGTTTTTTGCGAGAATTCAGCTATTTTCATAAATAATTAAATTCAAATATTTTCAATATCTATTATTTTATTTATTTATTTAAATATACAAATTTATATATTCTAATAAAATTTCTCAAAGAATTCAATTATTTATAAAAAAATCAATAAAATTCAAAGCGAAAATTCAAATAATATATGAATAATAATAAAATTTTCACAGTGATTCAATTAAAAAAAATTGCTTTAATTTATTTCACAAAATTGAAACAAATTAAAGCAATTTTTTTCAAAGAAATCAATTGTTTAAATATTTTAATAAAAATCTTTAAAAAGAAATTAATTATTTTCTAAAAATTTGTTTATAAGAATTCAATTATTTTCATAAATATTTTCATGAATAATAAAATTCTTCAGTGGAATTCAATTATTTTCAATGCAATTTTAATTCAATTCTTTGAAATCTTTCAATTATATTTTCGAAAATTTACACAAAATTTTTCAAACTACTTTACTAATTTTCAAAAATTTAATAAAATTCAAAACTAAAATTCAAATGTTATCATGAATATAATAAAATTTTCAAAGTAATTCAATTGTGTGAAATACAATTTTCAAGAAATTTTTTGGAAAGAAATCAATTATTTAAATATTTTAATAAAATTCTTTGTAAAAAATTAATTATATTCTAAAATTTTGACAAAATTTATTTAGTGACAAATTGAGGCGTAGTTTTCAAAAAAATTTGAATCATAGGCAATTTTATTAACTTCGCGATATATTTTTAATCGAATTTGAATTAAATTATTTGAAATATTTGAATTATTCTTTTAAATTTTTATAAAATTAATAAAAGAATCCAATTATTTAAAAAAAATTTATTAAAATTCGTCACAAGAATTTAATTATTTTCATAAATAATAAAATTCGTTGCAGGAATTCAATCATTTAAAAAAGAAAATAAATTTCTTTACAGAATTTGAATTATTTTCTGTACTTTGATAATTTTTCAGTCTAAAAACTACTTTTTGCTACTTTTTTAAAACAAATTATTGAGTGCGAAGCCTGTAAGTGAGTCTGAAAACTTTGACAAGAAGCTTCAAATATTTTCCAGTGGTCGGTACAATTTTAACAATTTAATGATTAAAAAATTAGTAAATTTTTGTATTCCTTAAATTCGAAATTAAAATTAAATTTTCAAATTATAACCCGAGATATCGAAGAACTAGAGAATAATTTAATAAGTCGGGATATTATGAAAGAACCGGAAGTCGTATTTCGATTCCCATATATTCGCGATTTATATATATAGTATTAGATTTAAATTTACCAATATTTCAATTCAAATAAGTCGAGCCATTTCGGCAAGGGTGAAATGGGTGTTATGGAGGAGCCAGAAATTTTGCAACCCTCGTCGTCATCATCTTCATCTTTGACTTAGAAGCTTCAAAAGGAATTTCTTCTTTACGCGGGAGACGAGAAATATTCCTTCGGGAAAGGATGCGCTCAGCGGAAAGATTTATAAAGTGGGGTACGCCATTTGTTGGCTTCAATCCAGCAGAGAAGTCTTTTTACATCGACACGAAATGCATCTTGCTACACTTAATACGTTATGACTTCACGTCTATTGCGTGCTCTACATAACATTGCAACGTGATCTGATTCCATTTCTTTTACTATTTCCAAAACTACTATATTTTTCGTTCACATCGAAAAAAATTAAGCCTGACAAAATTATTACACGTCAATAAAATTATATAGATTATTAATTTTTTTGGTTCTTACTTACATTTCGTTTATCCAAAATTTACTTCTTATGTGCGTGTAGCAAATAAATAAGAAGTAAATTTTGAATAAACGAAATGTTTTCTGAGATTTAACCCCGTTAATCATTTTCGTATATACACTGGAGTCTGAATCCTTTTTTTTTGCACTCGTGAACCAAGGGAAAGTACATTGATAAATTAGGACCAATTTTCTAAAGATACTTTTTGCTACCCTGAAGTTAAACGAATTATCTTTTCTGGCTTGTGTACAAAAGTAGGATAAGAAATGAAAGTAGTGACCTAACTTGAGATATATATTTTATTTTTGGTTACAGGAAGTCATGACAAGGTAACGACAGTGTGCAGAACGAGGAAGGTGACAGATAGTGAAAAACTTACAAAAAAAAGAACATGGCGAAAGGAGCTGAAAGATTACCCGGCACAACAACAAGAATAAGAACGAGAGACGATGGCTGTTGTTCAGTCAACTTCTTAAAATACGTTCTACACATATACAATGTTGTTCTATTTGTAAGTATTACTGAATTTTTTTTTTTTTTGTAACATTCATAATTTAATAAGATTCATTATCTTTGGAGGTTCTACTCTTTAAAAAATCGATTTTCGATAAATTTTCTTCAAATTTTCTGGAAATGTTTCTTTGTGTACAAAAACGAGATATTTTGGTAGACATTTTTAATTTTCAACATAATCCTATGTTGAAGTTGAAGTTTGAACTTGAGTAACTCAAAATTCGCAAAGGGTTATAAAATTTTTACCACACTTAAAGCGCACTCAAAGAAATATTTTCTCAAAATTTTAAGAAAATTGATCGAAAATCGATTTTTTCAAGAGTAGCATTGTATTTACTACTGAAAAGTAGTTAAAATAACTAAGAAAGTAGTTGGAACAATAAGATTTTAAAATTTAACAATTAGCAGTAATCACGTGATGACGTGACCAAACCGCCTCACAGTGGCGAAAAATTTACTTTTTCGTTTCAAATCACTCTACTGGTCACAGTTTTTTACCTAAGCGAATTTTCTTTTTTTCTAAATCTTCGTAATTAAATTCTTTATCTATCTCTCAAGCCCGATTTTTGAATTTTTGCTTTTAAACATTTTTTTAATAACAATAAGTATTAAAAAAATCATAAAATCGTAGAAAATATTTTTTTAGCTTCATTAATTAAGAAAATTAATCAAAAAATTAATCAAAATAATGTTTATTAAATTGTTTAAACAATTAATTGTTGCTATTTTTTTATAAACTGTAATTAGGGATAGAAATTTCTTGTTTTTTCTCAACTATGCAATTTGTCATTAGTAAAACATATACTAATGATAAAAAAAAATTATTAATTAAACATTGTTTAAACAATTAAATGTTGTTATTCATTTATAAACTGTACTTAGGGCTAGAAATTTCTTGTTTTGTCTCAATTGTACAATTTGTCAGGAGTAAAACATCTACTAATGATAGAAAATAAAATATTATTTATTTATTAAATTGTATAAACAATTAATTGTTATTTTTTTCATTTATTATAATTAGGGTTAGAAATTTTTAGTTTTTTTTCAATTCTGCAAATTTTTATGAGTAAAATTTCTACTGATGATAAAAAAAAATTAATTAATTAAACATTGTTTAAACAATTAAATGTTGTTATTTTTTTATAAACTGTACTTAGGGCTAGAAATTTCTTGTTTTTTCTCAATTGTGCAATTTGTCAGGAGTAAAGCATCTATACTGATGATAGAAAATAAAAAATTATTTATTTATAAATTGTTTAAACAATTAATTGTTATTATTTTTGTTACAAACTGTACTTGGGGCTAAAAAATTTTGTTTCTGTATTGTGCATTTTCTTGTAACTACAACATTCAAGTATTAAAGAAAAATTAAAAATTAATTCTTTAAACTTTGTTTAAACAATTTATTTTATTAACATGTCAATTTACTGTACTTAAAACTATAAATTCCTACTTTTATCTCAATTGTGCAATTTATTATTTAACCATTCTTTAAACAATTTATAGTCTTTAATTTTTCAATTGATTGTATTCAGAAGAAAATAGAAATTTCTAGCCATAAGTGCACTTTATGAAAAAAATGACAACAATACATTGTTTAAACAGTTATAAAATAAATTATTTTTTATTTTTTATCAACAGTAGAAATTTTACTCCTGAAACATTGCAGAATTGAGAAAAGAACTAGAAATTTCTAACCCTAAGTATAATAAATGAAAAAAATAACAATTAATTGTTTATACAATTTAATAAATAGATGTTTTATTTTTTATGATTAGGTAGATGTTTTCTCCTGATAAATTAAAAATTGTATAATTAAGAAAAAAACTAGAAATTTCCAGTACTCAGAATAGTTTGTGAAAAAATAACAATAATTAATTGTTTAAACAATGTTTAATTTTATTATTTTTTAACTTTTTATCATTAGTAGATGTTTTACTCGTGACGAATTGCACAATTGAAAAAACTAGGAATTTCTAGCCCTAATTACAGTTTATAAATAAATAACAACAATTAATTGTTTAAACAATTTAATACATTGTTATACTTTTATTATAAACCAGAAACACACAAACATTATTTTAATAGGTTTTTTAATTAATTTTCCTAATTAAAGAAGCTAAAAAAATTTTTTTACGATATATTATTGTTATTAAAAAAAATGTTGAAAAACAAAAATTCAAAAATTGGGCTCGAGAGGTAGACAGAGAATTTAATTACGAAGATTTAGAAAAAAAGAAAAATCGTTTTGGTCTAAAATTGTGACCTGTAGAGTGATTTGAAACAAAAAAGTACATTTTTCGTCATTGTGCGCCTCATGCTGCTAAAGTCATGACTTTTCTATAAAGCTCAGAAATTTAAACCTAAAGATAGTCATCAGTAGTAAAAGAAAATTATATAGACAGACAGAACTTCTCAAAATAAATAAATTTCTGAATCAGTTATAAAAAAATAATTCTTGAAAAACAAAGTTACATTATATTTTCACTGTCGTGAAACTAAAAATTTTTGAATTATTCTATTTTTTGTATTAGTAAACTAGGTTAAACTTTCAAAATTTTTCTGATGGTTTCTATATGCGGAAAAATATAAAGTAATTTTTACTATTTATAAAAGAAAATTGTAAACTGTCTATAGAATTTTGAGCAATTCTTTTAATTTTGATTATTTTTGGAGAAAATTTAATTGATTACTAAATGTTAATTTGGAAAAAATAAAATTAGTTTTTACCATGTTTTTTTAATCTACACTTGTCTCATTAACTATCTACATCACGCTGTAACATCAAAACACATTCGTTTTTCTGGGCAAAATGAAGCATCTCTTCTTTTTTTGTTTAATCAATGCCTTTTTCTAAATGAACCTGCCTCATACTCTTTTTTCCTTATCCGATTACCGCACTTTAGTTTGATGTGAAAAACGAATGCCTGGTCGATCGGTTTTTATACTTTTATACTGTATAAGAAAATTAATGCTCTTTGAAAGGAAAAAATAAGTTTAGAAGCTTAATTATCGAAATAGGAAAAATTTAAATTCTGTTGTGATTTATTTTGTTATTAATTATTTTTTAATTTAATTCTACAATTTCTGAAAATTTTTTGTGAAATAATTTGTATAATTTTTTCATTCATTTATAAAGAGGATAATTATAACTTTTTGTAGATTAATACATTTTGAAAAAGAATACTTACGCACTTGAATAATAATTAAATGTTATACATATATAGATATAGAAAGAGGAAAACGTCAAGAGATGTCTAGAAACTAGAAATCGCTAAACTTTCCAAGAGTATAGTTGTTGAGTTGAGAGACTTGGCACCATTATTAGTTGGTAATTAGTAGTTCATCTGGTACAATAATGGTTATAATTAAAGAGGTCTGGGCGTGTCAGTATTCCTGAACTCCGATGAGATTCTCGAAGAACATCACGAACATTCTATTGACGATGAACGTGGATTGGCTTCAAGTTATATAGAGAATTCAAGAGAGCGTTTGTGCTTTGTAGTTAATTTTAACCGACAATCCACGTAATAAACCCACGATGCAATAACGACTGTTTAACTCCCCCCCTTCTCTCTCTCCCACTTTATCTAAATACGCGTCAGATATATTTCTAAGATGAAAACATCGATAAACTATCAAAAACAATGTTTCAACGATCCTGTATTTAATTACAATATTTTGTTTAATTGTGAAAAGTTATTTTTAAACTTTAAACAGTTCATAAGCCCTTTAAATATATTACATAAATTTTAAAACAATGTAAAACTCATTAATGTCTGTAAAAATTTTTAAAAATCACTGAGATACTTATTACATAAGTATAGTGTTAATGGGTCATTCTCACGACAAAGACAAATGACACGTTCATTATATTTTTTAATAAATAAATAATTATAATTTTTTTAAGACTTTGACATCCTAATGATTGCATTTGTCATTATTTAACCAGATCCGATGAAAAATAAATAAATCGAAAATTTCAAATAATTAAACGCTCATGTTTATATAGTTATGAAAAATCCCCTCCGTTACCGTTCATGAAGTAACAGGGTTGCCACAGGGAAAAGTCAGGGATTTTTATAAAAAGTACTGGAAAAAATTAAATTTTTAGAATTCATAAGAAAGTTCTGAATTTTTGTATTATTTTTTATTGCCCCATAAACTATAAAATAACCAAGAAACTTTCAATTTTTTCTATATTTCTGACAAAACTTAGATTTTTGAAAAATTGTAGTATTTTAAATTCTTCTGAAATTATAGTTAAATTTTTTTTATATATATTTCATTAATTATTTATTAAAAATAATGGATTTATAGAAGAATTTTAGTTAAAAACAATAAAAAAAATTTTGCATTTTTGGGAAGTTACAAATAGTTGCAAAAATTCAATTATGTTTAAAAGTTTATAAAGATAATTGAAATTTTGTCGAGAACTTTTTTTAAACTTTTAAATAATTGAATTTCCGAGAAGAATTTTATTATTTATAAAGATAATTGAAATTTTGTCGAGAACTTTTTTAAATAATAAAATTCTTCTCGGAAATTCAATTATTTTCAAAAAATTTAATACATTTCTTAGCAAAACTGCAATTATGTATTTTCAAAAAATTTCCTCAATTTAATTATTTTCATAAATAATAAATCTCATTGCAGAATTTCAATTATTTTTAATTCAATTTTAATCGAATTCCTCGAAAAAATGTACTTAATTATTTAAAAAAATGTTATTAAAATTCGTCGAAAGAGTTTAATGATTTATAAATTTATTGATAAAATTCTTTATAAGAATTCAATTTTGAGAAACATTCAATTATTCAATACATTATTTACTTTTGTATTTAATTGATGGTAAAATAAAGAAATAATTAAATAAATAATTGAATTCTCGTAAAATTTTCTAATAAATATTAATTAAAAAATGGATTTCAGTTCCAATTTTAGATAATAATTCAACATTAAAAGCATTACAGCGTAAATTTTTAGAAATAATTTATA